TGAAACGTCTTCAAGCAACTTAAAGAAGTCCAGACACTTTTCTTTACAAGCTCCTTTGACTACTAGTAGAATACTAATAATTGAGACAACTTCCAATATCAATTTCCAAACCCATGATAATGAGCACAAGAAAAAAAAAAGTCTCATACCTTTTTCTTCAGATGTAAATCCAGAAGCAGCTTCTACTTTCTCCAAGATCCTTCTTAGCTTCATAACTTTAGTGGCACAAACATATCCATGTCTAGAAAACAAAGTGGTCTAAATACTCCAATACAGTTTAGCAAATACAACTACAACTACAGTTTAGCTTTTCAGAAGCAGTTTGCTTCACATCTAAATTCAGGTTTTGATGGATGGAATAAAAAAAGTATTATTTTATTTAAATGTATGAGCTCTAATTTAAAATTGTTCAGCACTGTTCCAACACAGCCTTACAATACTGCAAGAGTTAAATACATGGATCTGAGTATCTTTGAAGACTTACATGCGAAGAGGGTTGACTATCTCTGTACGCAGCAGCTCTTGAGTCTCTCTGTAATATTCTACGTCAGTCTTTGATCGTGGCCTCAGCAGAACCGTGTCCAGTACAGAACTGAAGGAAAACAAACTGCAAAGAAAAGCATGCACCAAAGGAATTAAAATGAATGTTGCCTGTTAGCTAATTGCCATACAATGTTTGTCTTTGTTTACTAAAAAAAACAGACCCAAAAGTATCACAGTTGGAAATATAACTAGCTTGATGGCCGTTTATCCGCAAACAAGAAGATATTTTCTGATAGTAAGATGTTCAGATGTTTCATTTAAATTTTAATCTAAACCTGGAACAAAAAGAAAAATAAAACAAAAAACTGAACAAATAATTCACTAAAAGCTACTGGTCAAATATCCATTTTCAACATTTGTATTAAATCATGGATGCCTTGTTGTAAAACTTCATATGATGCACATAACACAATTTGTTCAGTTACATTAGTGTCCATTTTGTTAATTAAGCATCACATGTGAATCTTGAACCTTCCTTACTGTCTAAAGCCCTCAGACTGAATGTAATATCTACAACAATAGTTCAAGCACTATTACAGGAATTTCTACTATTCTGGATTGACTGCTTCACCTAAAATGACTGTTGACAGAAACTGCTATATAACTATCTCCCAGTCAGCTCACAGCTGGAGCTCATCCTGGTCAAAGCTTTAAAATAAAAAAATCTATTAAGTTACTGCTTTAAGGCAAGGGCTGACGAGGCTCTGTGCAGTCAATCGAAAATTAAAGTGCACATAGGGCAATAAAACAAATTTCATATACTGTAGATGAAAAAGTATTTACCCTTACACCTAAAGAGTACTGACCAGAAGAGGGTTGAATCCAGGTAGCAGGAGTTGTAGTGACCCTGAATGCCTTTCTTCTTTCCCACCATGACATCCAGGCCATCATTTTCTGTGCGTGGAGGTGTGTTCTCATGTACAACCTCACTCAGGTAACCCCCAAATGCTGCAGAAAATACACATAGTAGTAGTGTAAGCACAAATTTTGTGAGACCATTAGTTAAACTAATCATTTTAATTATTGATATACCTCCAAATGACTCACCAATGGAGTTGCAGCGCTCTATGGGGTTGGAGGAATGGTGAAGGGATGGGAAACGGGAATCGGGCCGGCAGCACTTCAGCTTCACAAACAGGGCTTTTTTAGGGGGACAGGTGAAATAACGTGTGCCTTTGAATGTGCCATCAGTGCAACCAGGGCACTCTTCTTCCTGGAAATACAAGGTCATGTGATTAAATTTTTGCAACCAAGGACTGCCTGATCGTGTACTTCTTGACAATAATGTGGCTGTTCAGTATCTGATATACTGAATTTCATATACCTAGTCTATAATATAGAAGTCAGTTAGTATGTGTTAACCTTATGCATACTGTCTGTCTACCAATATATTATTTACCAAGGCAGTGTTTGTTCAAATTGTTTGCAATGATAGCACCATATATTTACACTATGTGCAAAATGGCAATAATATGACTATATATGAATAATATGAATAATATGAGTTGAGCTCAGGCTCACGACAGACAGGAAATGCAATAATAATGGGGGAAGGATAGGACAAAAACATCAACAAATTCATATACTGCATAATACTGGCAAGACAAGCAGTATCTCTAATTCCTGTCCCTAATTTTACATCTTTGTGTCGTCTCACCAGCTCCAGACCAGCCAGAGGCTCCAGTAGGCCAGGAGGCAGACCCACCCAACGGATGACACCACACAGAGGAGGGTTCTCTTTCACCTCTACCAGAGACCCCACCTCCAAACCTGGTTGTCCTCGAGGAGGTGTTGAAGGCCGTGGTGAGGGAGGAGCAGCAGAAGAAGGGGACTCTGATTGCTCTCCCATCACTGACTGAACAGAGAGTGACAGGGGTCCATGGCTCATGCTGTCAATAGGCCCAGGCTTACGATTGAGACTGAAGGGCAGCGAGTGAAATTTGTTGTCGCTGGACAGTGAGCCAGAGGGTGGGGCCCTGGATGGTGGAGAGGACTGGTTGAAGTCAGGGGGTGTGTCAGTAAGTGACTTGGCGGGGTCCTCCCCAACTGCATGAGAGAAAACAAAACCCAAAACTTAGTATGTTTTTTAAAAATATATTCTGTAGGCTGTGTGTAGGGCAGAGACTGTAGAGAGGTCTTTAGGGGGGAAAACTATAAATGCTTGTTTTATTCAATTTTTACCACATGCAGCACATCAGCAGATGGTTTCAGATGGTGATGAATTACTACATGGTAAACACCATTTTTACAGCATCTTTGGGCATTTTCACACAAGTGACGCCAACGTTATCACACATCAGTGATACATCAGTAACACGTGGAAACAGTAGAGATCAACCATTAAGAGTCTTTTCATGACCAGGACTGACTTTTACTGTTATTTTCTGATCAAACTCTAAGAAATTTGTAGTAAAAATGCAGTAAATGGCATCTTTTTCTGAAAATGTAGGTTCAGGGAACTTTGAGACACATGAGTGCCAAAGTAATGCCATCTATTCATTTATTTTGCTGACAATCTGTAAAAAGAAAATAATAGAAGTAATTTTCAAATATTGGACCCACTGACCAAGCTGAAGAAAACATGAAAATGAACAACAAAAGCTGAGATGGACCAGATATTTGTTATTTAAATGAGAAGAAAATACCAAAATAAGAGGCATCTGTGAAAGGGTATACTGTTGAGTAGATACTGGCAAGCAGAAATAATTATCTATGTCTTTTAGATATTATGTAAAAAATAATTGTCCATTGCTGAGCAATATTATATATGGTGTGAAAATGCCCTCAGCTGTGGTATGAGGTTAAGTAATTGGATATCATTCAATCAATTTACTGGCAGAATCAAGTTACAGATTTTCCATATGTCACAGTGAGTCAGCTTTATTTGATAATCTTGAAGAAAAAAAAAAATTAAGTTGTGAACAAATATTTCATGAAATGAAGTACACAATGAAATACTGTACCATTAATTCAAACCATGTTTGTGAAATGGGACTTTTCAGATGAATTCCCTATGTTCAGGACAGTTCAGTCACTATGTAATATCTGCTACAAGCTGGAGATTCTGGTAAAGCCACTGCAACTTACATTTGCATTTCCACTGCTGTACATATAATGTTTCATGCAAATCCTTGAACAGTGAATGACTTGAATAACTGAAAAGCTGAAAAGTGGAACTTTACACACCAACTTTTTACAGAAGTGGGAAGTTACTGAATTTATGCCCCACTACCCTTTACAATGTTCAATATACACAGCCCTGTTAGAGGACGTTGACATTTGTTTTCTTCTTGAAATTCAATATGGAAAACTGAGTAATATAAAGAGCATAACATAATAGAAAGCCACTTAGTTTTTAGCTATTTTAGTTATAAAAAATTTAGTTCAGCATTTATTATCTATGGATTTTATTGCTTTTGCCACCTAGGGTGCATGCTACACAACAACCTCAAACAATCTCTAATAATGTGACTTCATAAACCAATCTCACAGTTTCATTGCCCCTCTCTGAATTTTTTACAAATTGTTATCCTCTAAATTGTAACATTTGTTTCTCTGTAATAAACAGACACCATTGCACTGTGGTAACATAGCTTATCCAGAGAGAGAATAAACAACAAATACATGTTTATTCATTGTGTCTTTCTGAATTTTAAATGTACCAGTGATAAAAAAGTGCGATATAACCAGTGCTGACTGAATTGTCATGACAGAATGCACCTTCAAGCTTGTGCATCTCCAAATGAACTCTTCCTGTACTGAAAGAACCACAGAAATGTGTAACCTTGTCTGCTGACTTTGAATCAAATGAGAGCACCAGTGCATAAAAAGGCCCAAAATATACAGGGTAACCCTGAGGAAGATGAAAATGATTACACATTCACAGGATGAGTAAGCAGTTGTGAAAATGGCACATCAGCTATTTGTGACTGTCCTAATTTCAAACAGCATGTGAAATTAGCTGAACTAAATGCATTACTGAAACAACACAGAAGGTTTTCAAATATTATTTTGCCATGACACGGCAACATCACAAACAGCTATAGACAGCAAATTCTGCTTATGATTAGTCCAAATTTGCCATGATATTTAGGCACATTGTCACCTTTTTCTGCATGTCTTTTAATCTTATTTATATTTTCTTTTACTTTGTGATTCTGTCACTGGATCCAAGGACAATACATATTCTTAAAGAATTTATTCACAACTGCTAGTGATGATTGGTGATGAAACGAGCAGTGGAAGAAGAACAAAAACAATCAACTTGTTTTCCTACACCATGAGTAACACATAAACAAGACAACAAGCTGACAAAAATTAGCCAAGCCTGACTCCACAAACCTAATCTTTTACTAATGCTTTTGCTGGCAAATGTGCTGAACCACCATTGGTAGCAAAAAACAAAAATATCAGAAAGGTCAGGAGTCATTTGCAGCACAAAGCATCAATAAAAGCCTTTAGAAACACCAAATAGCTCATGCAGGTAGAATACCACAAAGAAACACTGAAATTGTGAATAGGGACAAGACTACTGGAAAAGTCCTTACAGCAAGCTACTGCAGCAAACTACTTGATGGTATTGCTCTGTATAAATACTGTTTACTTAAATCTGGTTGCAATTACTTTTTGTTACCAGAACCTGGGGTGGGGGGGCACCTCACAGTTATCCTTCTTTTGCAAAATCAATCACATAACCTTTTTTTACCCCAAAATTTATGACTCGGAACTCAAAAGACACTTGAACAAATCCACTCTGGAACTGTTTTCCTTTCGTTTACATTTTTAGTCTTTCTTGGATAGCTGCAGATAACCAGGACAGAGCAGGGAAATTACATGCAGCACAGGCTCTGGCCAGCAATACATTGGAGCAAATTGAGGCAACTGTTGTTTTGATTAGGCACTGTATGAATAAAATGCAATTGAATTAAATCAATAAATCAAATGAGTATCCAGTGCTCAAGGCTTACGGTACCTCGAGGTACTCATTTAGCAGCTTTGAAACGTCGTTCATCAAATTCTACAACATTCTCTTTATATTACCCATACTTCACGGCATACATTTGGTGGACCTGTTTTTTTATGGCAACTCACAGTACCAGAGTGTGAATGTCTTTTACTATAGAGGGAATGTGGGAATGGAAACCCTTATTTTGCCACTGTAAATGTATTAAAGCTCTGCAGTACCTCAGATTAATATGTAGTTTGTAAACAGTAGCTTGCCTTTAAGATGGTGACATCCCATGAGTACTTTTTTTTTTCCTTTTTACCTTCATCAATGTACCATGTGCTTTTGGATTTGGGCTGGGCTGGGGGATCAAGAGAGCTGCCATTTAAAGTATAGTAAAACTCAGACTTGCTTCTACTGCCACACTGATGACCTAATCCTGTAAATACAGCAAGTACATGAAAAGAGAAAGTACAGAGAGATAAGCATAATGTGCACGTGTGCACACTGTACCAGTGTATGTGCTTTAACTTCTCTCACTATGTTTCGACACTGAACAAAGGAAACAGGCATCTACAACTCTATGGAAAAGATCAATCATGAACGGCAACAAAAAGTTGAAGAGCAGGGTGAGAGGCACTGCATTCACGTCAAGTCAACTTAAGCAATCTGTATTATTTACTTCCCGCCAAAACAAATGTATCATCCCTGATTTTACTCATCTAAAAATATTACAAGCTTCAACAAGAATTATCTGCAACAAATAAAAGACAGCCATAACTGGCTTATATAGTGTATGAAACGTGGAAATGTGTAGGACAAGGAGGAGATTTATAACTTTTTATATTTTTGGCTTTACAACCTGGCAAATCTGATGGAATGCCCCTTTAAAATAAAACCACTGTGATATTTCCATAGAATAAAAGTAAAACCTCATCCATTGGCTTGTGAACTCCTGTTTAAGATGAGTATTGTTAGGATTTTGGGATTTTGAAACCAGATGTCATGAGCAATGACATCTGGTCTATCTAAGATCTTTTCTGACATATTTACACTATGGATGTTCCTCAAAAGACTGTGTCTAAAAGACTAAAATCCTTCAACATTTAAGACTGAGACTTTCTTTGCATCAAAATACTGTAGAGCAGCTCTGGTAAACACACCTGTCATCTGTTTACTTTCTTCCTTACTCATTTAAAGTATTCATTTACAGACAGAGCAAGTCCTACAAAGACTGTGGTCAAAAAGCTGTTAAGACCACAGTCACCAAGAACAGCATTTATAACACACCAAACCATAATGGATTGAAATCTTGAAACACCTTCAAGGTCCTAATGCTCAAGAGGGCATATCTACATGCCTGTATGGCTTTCTAAATGTGATCTAAATGATTCAGAACACAGTGCCATGGTCAGATGAAACCAAAATTGAGCCCTTTTTGATTGGAGGAATAGTAAGACCCACAGAACAACATCCCCACAGTCAAGCGCAGGGTTAGAAACATTATATTTTGGGGCTGTTTTGACAGAACAGTGAGTACAGGAAAACTTCACAGTATTGAGGGGCCATGTTTTGTAAAATCTAGGACGAGAATCTCCTTCCCAAAAAAAGAACACTGAAGATGGGTTGTTGATGGGTCTTCTAGAATGACAATCACCAAATCATACTGTATTCTATTCTTCTAAAGAAGAACCACATTAAAGTCATTGAGTTGTCTAGTCAGTTTCCAGGCCTTAGTCCAATAGAAAAACTGTGGAGGACGCTGAAGCTTTGAGTTGCCAAGCAGCACCCTAGAAATCTAAGGTATTTAGAGAGTTTCTGTAAAGAGGAGTGAGCCAAAATCCCTCCTAAGATGTGTACAAACCTAGTGGCCAACTACACTAAACAACTTACTGCTGTCCTTGCCAGAAATTGTTTCTCTATCTAGTATGGTCATGTTTGCTTGGCAATCAATTAAATACTAAAATGAAACCCCCAAACAATTTGAGACTGTTCAATTCTTTGTAAGTAAGGAAACTTAAAAATTCAGCATGGGATGAAATAATTATTTCCACCACTGTTTCCCTAATTTCTTTATTGTGTTACTACAGTTAAGCTCAGGGTTTCAAGTACTTTAAACATTAATTTTAAGGCAGCCTTTCCAATTCTTATGAGCACTATTGACCACTAATATGGTCATCTCAGGCAAAAAGTGCTGGCTACGAGCAAGTCACTCCCACCTGTTGTTCAAAACTTCTCTTTGGAAAAGACAGCCAGTCAAAAGAACGACAGATTAAAGGGAGGAGAAGCTAAAAGCATTTTTCAGTGGATGAACAGAAGAGTTGCATCATGACTCAGATAAGATTTTAAAAAAGGATTATTTCAAATTTTAGACCAGACAGCTACTCTAAGAGAGTCCAAGAATAAAAATACAAAGCTGGAAATAACCATAAGTCCTCTTTAAGATTTATCAGCACATCAAGATGTGGTTATGTATGTAGGTAGCTGTGCATCATAACTTAGTGCACTACCTTTGCTCTTTGGTTTGCTTTGGCTAGAGGACGACTTGTCACTGGCCGGGCCTCTGGGGGCAAAACTGTGCTTTTGGAGCCTTTGGTCCTGCATGGAATATTCTGTGAATTCCAAAAATACATCCATATTAGAGGAAATTCACATTAATGACCAGTGCAATTTGTTAACTGCATAAACAGTTAACTAGAGCATCTAACTGCTGCTTAAGGCATTCTAATTAACTGCAAGTTATCTTGCCCCTCACTTGTCCCGCAAGCTGTAAGTTATAAAGTAACATCTTCACTGTCAAGTATCAAAACACGAGGATTTGGGAACCAATAAATAACACGTTTGGTTTAGGGAGACAATTTAAAGTAGTTCTACTTTGAGATAACACATCTCCATGGTCAGATACTGCTAAATGAATAGTTTTAAAGAAAGGTGGCAAATTTGCCAATTCTTCAATGTCAATTAGTCTTGAATAGTCACCTGACTATTCAAACTTGAATACAACTTTGAACAGTCAGACAGCAGCACAGATAAGCAAATCAATATTCCACTGTGGGGAACAAAGAGCCAGAGTATCTCACTTGACTTTCAAAAACAAGTGAGCCATCAACACAAAAGGCTCTCTGTTCCCGCTGCAAGCAAAACACAAACTCAGAATGCTAGGAAGCAGCTTAGTGCTGGTCCAAGTGAGGCACAGCTGAATGTTATCAGGAAAAGAAATGCTAATGCTAGACAGTACAAACACAGTAAAAACCAGGAACAAATACTATATAACTCACCTGGCATTACGTCACAGATGGGGACAAGTCGAGTGTGTTCCAAACTGGCAAAATTACACAGCAGCTTTCCATCAAACACACCATCCCAGTCCCCGATAGGATTGTCCTGAAAGAGTTGGAGACATGACAACCTTGTAACCCTCTTAGATGCTCCTCAGCACTGGAACACTGATTAAAGTGGTGCCACACGTGGTACTTTTCCTCGTATTTTTTTGATGTTCAACAAGGTCTGCTGTATCCCACTCTATCTAAAGATTTTGTTTAAACTCGATCCTCTGTGTTATGATAAACCATAAACCATGCTCATCTCATCTTTTTCCACATTAACCATATCTTCCACCTTAGGTCCTCCTCCAACTGAAAGCTCCACTGTCTCTGCAAGTGCAACCACGGTATTCTTCTTCTTCTCTAGTTTGGAATCCAGTAATATGCTTCAGAGGGATAGCCTAAGATAAGCTTGAAGCCAGTGCCACTAGCTAGAGAAGGCAGGGCGAGGCTGGACGCAGAGTGAGGCAGAGCAGTGGGCTCTCCTCAGCTGCCTGCTGGCCCTTTGCCATGCTGTTGGGTCATACAGCACTAAGTCTTTACCTCACTCCCCGCGTGACTGTCTTGCCTTTGTGTGGGAGGCTCAGATGCACCGAGTGGGCTGCTGCTGCTGCAGCTGCTGGTGGTGCTGATAACGATCAGCAGTCAAACGCCTTAGTTATGTATTTCAATCTCTCTATCACTACAATACCACTCCCGCCTGACAACAGTAGTCATAGATACCAGCTACTACAATCCAAGGCAACAAGACGCGTTCCTACACAGTAACTGTCAGAGAAAAGAAAATAATAAACACAGGCAAGTTGTACAGCAAACATGAGACATTAACTGTGATAATTACATGGAATTGCATGCAAATTCCACATGAAATTGTTCATGGATAAAAATGATGACAAATGGTAGAACATTAAAACATTTAAAAAACATAAAGCATGAAAACTGTAGCAAAGTATGACTTTTTTTTTCCTTTTCTTTTTTTATATTTTTGCACCAAGTCCTAAAGTAAGAGTTCCATTTATGAGAGAGGATGTCTAAACTGGTAATTTTATCTGAGCCAGCAGTTTAAATCACTGAGTTTTACAGACTTCTTACTGACAGAGACTTTACCCATAGTCTGCATCAAAATAGCAATACTGACACATTTCTTTATAATAGTTGACTGAATGTGGGAAAAAAAAAAACCAATGAGACACTTGAAACTGCACTGATTTTTCTTAAGACAAATTTGGAGGTATTTTAATTGGTTATTATTCAGTGGTTTACTGCAACATCCACTTGAGACTGAATTGAAATGTGTTTGACATAGCTGGCAGATGTAGTGCAACCACAGATAATAGATGGTCTGAATGTCAGCAAACACAAATGAACTGTATTCAAAGGAAATACACTATATTTTGAAATCATCATTTTCTTTCTTTTTCTAAACCTCAAAAACAAAAAGAAAATTATATTTTTTTTTTGTAGAAAAGGTTGTACAATAGCACATACGCATACTATACAACACATATTATTAGGCACTAAGGCATCTCAACTTACTATTACCTGACTGATAACAGTGGGCTTTCAGATTTAGCGTTATTATTTACTTCTTAAAAGAAAAAGAGAATGTTTTTCTGTATGATCTTAAAATATTATGTTGAATGTTTAGCATTTTCCCCAGACTGGAAGGTGAACAAACTGATCCTTTATTCTAACCAGCAGTTCAGAGCATTAAATGTTTTATTGCCTGTTTCTGCATCTGTCCAGGTGTACATTTGTGAATAGATTAACCCATTTAAAGGGAACCATTCTTACCATGTCAACTCCTACATAGTACCCCAAGCTCTCATTGCCGGGTAGCAGGTCACAAAAAATTATGGTGCCTCTCTCTGGTCCCTCCCTGGTCTGCACCAGGACCCTTGAGTTGATCTCCAGTGGAGGAAAGTCTTGATCCTCTTCCACCAGACCGATATTGTCTACCTCCAGCTCACCCAAAGGTTCGTCATCATCATCCTCCCACAGTTCAAGCTTGTCCAAGGCTACAAACACACCACATTCATCCTCACAGCGGAAAAGCTGGCGGCCCTGGTAGGTGCCTTCCGTGAAGCCTTGACCCCGACCTTCCTCCTGGGATGGGAAAATAGAGGAAAGACAATGAGTCAAATTTAGAGAGCAAGTCAAAACAGGAGCAACAGAGATGAGCAACTTATTCTTCTAATTAGGAGGCCAGTTTGCAAAACTGCTTTCTCAGCATTCTTGAATAAAGGTGAGTCAACATCCTAGAGCTGTGAAAGCATCTGATCGATTACTGCAGCAGGAATATGACTTGACTTACTGTGATGATAAATGCAAACATTTCTAGTACAGACACTGGATGATATAGGATATTGTGCATCTTTATCCACAGGCAGGTTCTTTGGATAGAAAAACTGCTGAATCACCATTACTGCTGGCAAAGCGAACATACTCTATGTATGTTAGGAGTATAAATCAGAATTTTATTATAAGCTTATATGCTAACTGAGGCAGCTATACTGAGGCGCAGTTTGAATGCTTTAGCTCCATCAGCCCACTCAAGAAGACAACAGCTGGACTCTGAAGAATACAAACAACATTGTACTGCAATAGACAAGCCTTTGTACTGTATTTAATTATTGTACTGCATGTACAGTCCAGAATGAATAGCCTAGTTCAAAAACTCAGATTTTGTGATGAGATTAAAAGGAACAGAATTAAAATGTTGACCTTATCTTCTTACAATCGAACCAGTTTAAACACTGCATCTCTGTTTTAGCCTTGTGTAAACGGTAAACAGTTATAGCCACAGTTATAGTACTAGCTAATAACTTCACATCTGTTAAATAAAACCTAAAATATCTGAAAATAAAACAAGCAATATACATTATTTAATCCCACATTTTTACTCAAAGCCATTAGATGCATGATTCACAAGATTGAAGCTTTACAGTTTGTTTTTTCAGTGTTACATTTACACAAACTGTCATTATCACACTGCTTTTTAAACCAAGTGAATTGAAACAGAAGTTGTCAATGTGTGGCATCATCGCTGTAAAAGCAATACAAATGTGAATATTTTGCTTTTCATTCAGCTTCTGCAGCACTGCTGTGTACCCTCAACAGTCATCAATACAGTTTAAAAAGTCTTCAAAAAAGCTTTTTTATTGTTAGCT